CTTTTAAATGCATAAATCACTTCAGTTTTAAATACTAGCCAGTTTTTCTTAACATGAACTACATTTAAATGGCATGGAGATGAAACTTCTAGGAGGTACTGACAGCTCTGCTCCGCTGCCCTTCCCTGTCCAGCCAGGCCACAGTGGGCAAAGACCACTTTTATTAAAAACAGGATATCACTATCTGGGCCAACACAAACAAGAAGTGTAATCAATGCAAATATACATGATGTGACCAAAAACTACAGTCAACTTTACATACAAAATTTTAAAAAGCATTATAGTAAAAGACACATTGCTATTAATCCCCCCCTCAAAATAGTCCTCTTGCTTTGAACACACCTATCCCATCCTTCTTGCCACTTCCTGAAGCAGTTATAGACATCCTCTCTCCTGTCTTTAGTGGCTTTGTGGCTATCTCCATGTTCTGAATGGATGAAAAGCATTTATGGCGATTTTTGTCAAAGAAAAGCATTAATTACTGTGTCCTCAACCACCTTGTTAACTGGATCTGCCACCGTTCCACTTCAGGCTCTTCCTCAGACTCAAAATGACCATGAAAGGTAAATGCTGTGAATGAGTTCAGGACACTGACACAGCTACAACAGTGAAAATAAAGATATGAACGAGGACTTCCTTGCAGGACTTCTTCACAAAGTGGCAAGATGATGGAGTAAGTGTGTTCAAAGTGTGAACTATTTTGAGGAAAATTAATGGCAATGCGTTTTTTACTTTAATTTTTAACATTTGTTGCATTTTTTTCACACCACGTATATTCAAACATGCTACCTCTAAAATGCTTTCAGCTTTTCTCCTACCTGGAGAAGAATGTTAGAGGATGACATGTGGTCAAAGCAGCTGAGCCTGATGTGCAGGAAAACTCCTGTGCTACACTAAATCCTCAGAAAGACCAATTAGTGAGGTCACCATTGAAAGGATCAAATGCTTTTCAAGAAATGCAACTCCACATAAGTGACAAGGTACAATTGAGCCATTCAAAGACTATTCTTCAACGATAGGAACCATTCTTCAAGGAAGTAGAACACCTAGCTTCACGAAGGAAGGGTGTGTCTGTCTCAGTTGCTGATGTAGCTTCAGTCCCTGGCACTATGCCTTACACAAACATTCATGCCTTACATGTTCAACATATTTTGACTCTATATAATAAGCTTACATCTATCATATCCACCTAATGTGAAAATTTTATTATTTGGTAAACATTTTCTAAGGTAATGCTTATGTTACTTTTCTAGGTAATCCCAACTTTCCCTAGAGATATTAAAAACTAAACCCAGCTGGGGATTTAGCTCAGTGGTTCTGCTGCCTGCTTTGCAAGTGCAAGGTCCAGAGTTCGATCCCCGTACCAAATAAATAAATAAATAAAAGTAAACCCAAATGCATTTAAATTTTTGGAATTCTGAATTAATATTTTTATTATTTTTCCCTAAACAGAAATATCTAACACTATATGAGATTTTTAAAATTATGTACCATTAAATCCTCAAACTAAAAAACTGTACATTATATATTATTGTTCTCATTTTAATGAGGAAACTGAATGTTGTAAAGCAAGTGATCATAAGTGGTTGGAGGCGTGCCAAGATTTGAACACAGATTCCTACCCTTCCATATCGCCTCCTCTTCAGGAAGATCTTGGAGGGCTTAGTAGTGCAGAATGCAGGTGATTTTCTCTCAGATACATGTGAACTTTTTCTTGGCATCTTCTCATCCAGTTAAAGGAGGTACTGAATTCCATAAAGCATTCAAAAAAAACACTTTTTTCATTTCCATTCAGGATTCAGTTTCATATGCATAGCCCTTTTACAGTTTATCTTTGGTTCCATCTACATTATTTAAAGAATACCACTAATTAGCTATTTAACTTTTTATTTACTGCTTCCCATCTCTGAGCTCAGTCTCTATGAAGTGGGAGAGCCTGATTAAAGAATCCATCTTAATTTCAAAATTCTATGCTTCTTTTAATATAAATTAAGCAATAGAGGTATATAGAGGTATATTTATAAATGTTGTTTTAATAAAAGCCATTTGGTATTTCAAGTTGACCAGGCTAACAGAAAAGGTGACTTATGAAAAATGGCACTGGATGTGAGAAAAACCCAAGTTTTAATCCACAATGTGTTCTCCTGAATCATATTAAATACCTACATGGTGCCAGCCACTATTTCAGGCATTATGAATACAACTGAGCATATTAAAGACAAGTTCTTACTCTCCTGTCCCTGTATTCTAGCAGTGAAAGGCCCACAAACAAGTAAATAACAAGAACAGCATAGGCAGTTATGAAGGATTATGGAAGGCATAATTCTAAATAGTCCATAAAATCCCCACCCCTAATGCACATACACTCTTCCCAGTTAATTCAATCAAATCCTAATCTAGGTGTCTCTGTGAGGGGATTCTGTTGATGTAATTAAGATCTCAAGGAACGAGGATTTAGCTCAGCAGTTCGGTGGCCTGCCTTGCAAGCGCAAGGACCCGAGTTCAATCCCCGGTACCAAAAAAAAAAAAAAAAAAGATCTCAAATCAGGTGACTTTAACTTTTTTTTTTTTGAGACAGGGTCTCACTGTGTAGTTCAGGCTGGACTTGAACTCACTATGTAGCCCAGGCTGGTCTTGAGCTTACAGCAATCCTCCTGCCTCAGCCTCCCAAGTGCTGGGATTACAAGTATGCACCACCATATTCAGCTTTAGATAAAAGGAAAATCATCTTTAGTGGGCCTGACTCGTAGGTGAGTCTTTAACAGAGACTGGGCTCTCCTGGGTCAGAGAGATATGAAGCATGAGAGAAGTTCCTAGGGAGACTTTCAATTTCTGGCTTTGTACATGGAAAAGGCCAGGCAGGAAGGATTGTGTGTGTCATCTGGGAGCTGAAAGTGGCCCTCATGGTAAGGAACTGAGTCCTGCCACAATCATATGAGTTTGGAAGAGGATCATGTGTTCCAAATGAGAATGACCAACATCCTGATTTTAGTTTTGTGAGACAATGAACTAAGGTCCTACCCACTGTGTGCCTAGATGTCTGACTACAGAACTAATAAATGGGCATTGTTTCAAGCTACTAAATTTGGGGTAGTTACTTGGTATTAAAAAACAAATATGGTGCTGTTTAGCGCATCAGAGACGTGATAAGAGTGCCATGGTGACTGCTCTGAATTAAAAGATCAGAGGACATATTGAACCTGCAATCTAAACGAATAAGATTTAGCTAAGAAAAAAATGGGGGAAGGAACATTTTATAAAGATGGGATAGCTGAGGCAGAGATAACTGTGATGTGACAAAGACACAGGAAGTACAGGTGAAGCATAGTAAGTGCAAGGCTGTGTGTAATACAATATGAAAGACATAAGAAGCCAGTGATCCTGCACTTCAGTTAAGGAGCTGGGTCATACTCTAAGCATGAAGAGAAGCCATGGAAGTAGGGGGTTTAGCAATGGTGCAGTATGATCAGATATATAGGACATTTGGTTACTGTATGGGAAATATTTCACAGAGACTGGGCTGAAGCCAGAGCCCTTGTGGGTGGCTGAAGTAGGGGAAATAAGAAAGGGCTAAGTAGAAAGGTTTAAGGTATGCTGTACAGTATGGTGTGCTTGGTGGTAGTGTGGTTGCTAGTGTGCAAGAAAAGCAGAGTCCACTATAATTCCCACAGTTAAGAACAACGAGGCACAGTGGGAAAACGCTTGCCCAGTACACTCCAAGCCCTAGGTCAATGCCCAATATTGAAAAAGCCTCTATACGCTAAAGGCATATTTACACAACATAGTATAAAGGACCATAACAAGTTTGTACAAAAATTCTCACTTTATTCTCACTAAGGAATCGTAATAATAATCCTTTTACAGCATGTAAAGAATAGTCTCTGGATAATTTCCTTTGAGTCCTAATATTATTCTTATCCCACAGTGATGTCACTAATGATGCAAAACAGCTAACAGTTATCCCTAGGTACCACATGGTATTCTAAGATAATGTACCCTGTCTTGTACACATACTCACATCTTTTATCTTCACAGTCTTGTAAAGTATTAGGCAGTTTTTCAGTTATTCAGTCTGTCTAATCCAGAAACAGGTCCAATGCTACAGTTCTATCTTGTGTACTCTATAGCATGGGATTCCTGTAGTTTTAAGGGTTTAGTAAAAGGTTCCCTGCTTTCAGCATGTTTACACACCCTGCTTGGTCAAAATCTCATTTGAAAATAGAACCTCAGCTTACAGAGAACCATAAAATTGTGCAATACCATTTATCATGTACCTAATGGTAGCTTGAGGGGTGTGATTTAATGCACGATGAATCAATTATACATGAAACAGGATGTCTCACTGCTGGAAAAGCATGCAAGGTAAAGAGTGGCAGGTGGTAAAGCCAGCAAGGAAGGGGCAGATATCAGAAGGATACTCAGACTTTATCTTGTAGCTAGCAAATGCTATAAAAGAATTTTACAAGTGAACATCTGATCACTGGCAGCAGGGTGAAAACTGGATCGACTGAGTTGATAAAGCAGGCATACCAGTCAGAAAGAATGAAGTTCCAACACAAGGTAACACCTAGACACCTTCGGCACTAAACATGGGCCTGAAAAGGGGCTAGAATTGGCAACTGAGGATCTTTTTTAAGTTTCACCGAGTGTCCTAGTGAGTGGTGGTGATTCCTCAAATGAGAAACACACAGAAAATGGGTATAGGAAACTTGGACCCACCGATCCCTAAAGTTCTTCCATCATATTTCATTTCATAGATTAAAAGATTATACAACACACATAAACACCCTAGAGTAGGCACCAGAAAATGAACCTGAGTCTCTTGCTGTCTGGTCTCACTCATTCTATTAAAAATAAATATTTTTATCTTTTCATAATTTTTATTTTATACATTCTATAAATGCACGAAGAGAAATCAGATTTTAAACTAGAGAATTTCTTTTCTGAATAGTAGCACAGTGATACCAGCAGTAATTTACAATTAAGTTTTAGGTACTCACTTCAAATTCTTTTACAAAGTAACGAGTTTCACCTTGAATAACTGGTCTGTGATCCAAAAGCCTTGACTGAATCTCTCCAAGATCTAGAAAAATAAAATGAACTCAGAATTAATCCATGCTAAATGGCATGATCTGTAGCTTGTTTTGCTGCTTCGTCATAAATAGAGGAAGACAGGTTAAAATTCAGTTATAGACCATGGATTAGGAGACGAATATATAAATTAGCACTACTTTTGAGAGCAATTTGGCAATATTTAATAAAACTAAAGATATACCACTATATACCCAACATTTTCATGTCTAGATATGTAACCTAAAAAAAACTTTGCACAAAAAAGGCATTTGTAAGCCGGGCATGGTGGTGTACACCTGCAATCCCAGCACTCGGGAAGGCTGAGGCAGGAGGATTGCTCTGAGTTTGAGACCAGCCTGGGCTACATAGTGAGTTCCAGGTCAGTCTCAACTACATAGTAAGACCTGCCTCAAAAACATAGTGAGACCCTGTCTCTAAAAATAAAACAAAACAAAGCATATCAGTTACATTTGTAAACATGGGTAAAACTCACAAATATAACACTGAGCAACAAAGAAAAGCAAGTTTCAGTAGGATTAAAGCCATTTACACAAACTTTAAAGACGTGCAAAATGACACTTCCTCATGGAATGACACAGAAGCAATAAAAAACATAAAGAACTGCAGGAAGCTGGGTGTGGTGGCACACACCTGTATCTCAGAGCTCAAGAAGCTGAGGGAGGAGAATCTAAAACATAGTACTGAATTACTTTTTTTTTTTTTTTTTTTTGGAGACACTGTCTTGCTACATAGTCCAGGCTGGCCTTGAATTTAAAGCATTCCTCCTGCCTCAGCCTCCCAAGTGCTGGGATTATAGACATGCACCACCACACCCAGCTGAATTATCTTTTCTTTTTCTTAAGTACTACTTCAAAATTTAAAACCTTTGTACATCAAAGGACACAACAGAATAAAAGATAACCTATGGAGAAGATAAATGCAAATTACTTTTTAAGGGGGGGCATTAAGACTCAGAATGTATAAAGATCTACAACTCAACAATAACAGAAATCCTAATTTTTAAAAAATGAACAAAGGAAAAGAACAGACATAAATGGTCATTAAGTACATGAAAAGGTGCATAATATTGCTAACATCGAGGAAATGCAAATCAAAGCCCAATGAGATGCCACCTCACCCAGTAGGATGGCTACTACCAAAGACAGGAAATAACCAATATTGGGGACGACATACGGAAACTGGAACGACTGGACTGCTGGGAGGAAAGTAAATGGTACAGCCAGTATGACACTTCCTCAAAAAGTTAAAAGAATTACCATATGACCCAGCCTGTTTTTGGCTACATGTATATCTCAGAGTACTGAAAATGGCCTCAAAAAGATATTCGTACATTCAATCCACAGCAGTATCATTCACAATGGTTAAAAGCTGGGAGCTGACAAAAGGTCCACAGATATATGAGCTGATAAGGTGTGGTATGCATACAATAGACTACTATATCCAGTCTTTAAAAAAAGGATGGATCTTCTGACATGCTACTACATGGATGCACACTAAGGATATCTTAAGTTAAAAACGCCAGTCACAAATAGACAGAAACCGTGATTCCATTCGTAGAAGGTACATTTACAGACAGAAATAGGACAGTGATTGTCAAGAGTGGGAAGCAGGAAATGGGGTGTTATTTTTAATAGATTCCAAGTTTCAAATTTTCAAAATGAAAAGCTTTCTGTGGATGGGCAGAGGAAACGATAGCATAGTGTAAATGTACCTAAAGCTGCTGAGTTGTACACTTCAAAAGTTATGATACATTTTGTTGTTTGACCATAATTATAAAACAATTTAAAGCAATACTGCACTAAGACAGCATAAATAATTCTATCCCTAATACCCATTCAACAGTCCCCCAGTCCTGTTGGAACAATTTGAGATATAAGGTCTAAACAGACACAGCCTGTGCTGGGGCTGCCTACAACTCTGAGAGAAGATAAGGCTAAAATGAAAGAGCAGCAACCAAGGTCTACCTCCTTGGCTAGTTCTGAAGGCCTTTACAATCGTGTAGAAAGACGGTGGGATTGAAACTGGGTTCAAGGAACCTGGCGAAGAAAACACTGCAGCATCTGACTGGCAAAGACCTTCCCGCAGGAAGCAGGGGTTGTGGGCTTTGGGACTCACACCTAGTGCAGGTCTGGAGCATCTAGGCTTAACCTTCCTCCTAGCTCAAGGCAGACGGGACAGCAGTGTGAGCAAGTGTGCGGCGCTTGACGGTGTTTCAGGACGCTTTCCTGGAACGACCCAGGAGCGGTCAGGGCCCAAAAGGGCAAAGGGCACGACCCGAAGCCACGCGAGGACGAAGTGACAGCGCCCGGGGGTGGGGAGAAGAAACTGCAAACTCTTTCCGCGGCCAAACTCCGGGCCCCGCGTTCGTCTGAGGGGAGGTTGTACAAAGTAGCCTCGCCCTTCTTTAGGGTCAACAGATTGAGGACAGGACCGGAGGCGGGTCCCCCACTGAGAGAGACTGCAGCCGACTACCAGGGAGCGACGGAAGCAGGCGGCGCCGGACGCCGGGCGCGGAAA